GTTATTCTACATCTTTTCATTCCTCAGTGGAGAAGGAATTTCTAGAGTCACATAAAAGGAGCCTGTGATGAATGTAAATGTCACATCCAGGGTGTCAGCCGAGGGAGGCTGATGTGGGGTTCTAGGAGGTGAGCGGCCCAAACGAAAAAATGCACGAGGTGTTGCCATACTGCTGGACAGACTTCAGCCAGAGACACCATGGGGTTAACAACACTTTATTGCCACAGGGAGGTGCGCCTATGATGCACCTGTCCTGCATTTTTCTGTTTTCTGTCAGCACATGTGTGGTCTGAGTTTCTTTGTTCATTAGGCTTACAGAATATCTCTAGCACATGCGTACTTCTATTTTCTTTGTTCTAAATCTTATATAATTGACGCATGCGTGGAGCAATTATTTACTGCATACTACAAACATGCTCTGATCATGGCCTTGGGTCCCACGGCCTTAACTCATCTCAACACCAGCTCACACAGGGACTAAATTTCCAGAAGCCTTAACTAAAGGAATACTAATACAAGATCACAGGAATGTCTGTACAAGAAGGATGCCAGTCAAACATCCTTTCTGACAGTGGAAAATGGAGAAAACTTAAGTGTCCACCATCAAGACAATGATGCGTTAAATCACAGCGAGCTGTGGGCACTGAGGGGTCGGCGTTTCAGCGTGGTCCCGGGCCTTGTCCACAGCACTCTCCCACTAAAGGTGTCCTTACACAAGAGACTGCACCTGCACATCAGGAGACCCCTCCACTCTGAAAGGACCGTGTGAGTCTGGAGTGGGAGGACGCCTATGATATACCCCTGAGTGAATAAGGCAAGCAGCAGAAAACATATAGTATGGCCTTATTTTTCAATAAAGCATATATACACACACATATACATAGATTTCTCATATACATGCGTGTGTTTGTGTGTGTTTTTATATATATATATATGTCATAGGCAAAAAGGTCATGAAATATATACACCACATTTTCAACAGCTTTTACTCTCAGGAAATAAGGGGAAGAGAGGTAGGGGCCTTTCGGTACCATCGCTGTTCTCTTTTCAGTATTTCAGTTAAGTATACTTGGAACTTAGTTTATTTAAGTCCGAAGTAAAACGGACGATGCTTCCACAAGACAGAATGCTATACTGGTCATTAAAAATCATGCCAGGGGAGATAGAATATTGTAGAAAAAACATGTAATAAGCCGAATGGAAAATGGCGGTCTCCACACAGTAAACAGGCACAGTGTGCTCGCTGGTTTTTATGACAGAGGTGATACATACCGATGAAAAGAATAGAAACTAGATGCTAAAGTTTTAATTATTATCTCTGAGTAGTGGGACCAGGATAGCCTCTTTTGCCCCCTTTTTTAAGACTTATTATATTAAATACACAGTATTTTTCATCTGAAAAAAGCATTTTTAGATGTGTAGTACAGCACACTGGAGAATAATACACGTGTACTTACAGAAACAAGTAACTAGGAGACACCGCAGCAGCGTCACACAATGTAGAACGGGCGATCCTGATTAACGCTGCGCAGTTACATAAGGACCCACAAAGTGAGAGCACCTGCTGTATCAGGGAGTGGCCCCCTTCCATTTGTCAGTTGTGTCTTCAGGGCTGAGGCAGTTCTGAGCACGGCCAGTGTCATTGCTGGTGTGTGGATTGATGCCACTGGAGGTGAGGGCGCCTGCAAAGAGACAGGAAGAACAGAAAGCATCTTTTGCCTTTTCTGTCTTCTTTCCTTTTTACTTTAAAAGAGAGGCATAAATAAGATAAACTGTGTATCTTCCCTACTGAAATTTCAGTAATGAAACCGTTTTTAAATCCTTCACAGCTTATATTCTGCCTATAACTGTCTTTTCAACATAGCATCATATTTATTAAATGTTAATTAACTCAGTTAATTAACTTCCTTTTGAAACCTTCTATTTAAGAACATGAAATGCACTAGGTGAAAGAACCACGCCTGCAGTGACCAGTTCAGATGTCTTGACGGCAGTGCAGTCAGCCCCCACCATCCCGTGGCCCTGAGCTCCTGATGCTGGTAAGAGAGCATACTGCCGCCTCCGATGGAGAGAAACTGAAAGCATTTTCTGAAGTCAACACCACTGACAAATAATGACTGAAATGTCCCAGTCTCCTTTGAGGGTGTCTTTTTCCGTTTTTGGACAACAACCGTCAACGAGCAGAACCACCCCATTCCCGAGCCATGGGACGCATGTGGGAAGCAGTTTTGGAGAAATTTCCAGGTATAGAATGTAACCAACTACACGTAGACCTGTGACAAAAGAAACGATGCAATAATCTGATTTTGGAAGACACTCAAAATATTCTCCTAAGCCTTAGTAGCTGGAAAGGCTGGGCTTCTCCTAAGCCACTTATTTATTTCACAGCCAGTGAGCATCTCCCACAAACCCTGTTTCCCTGTGTCTGCTGGGAGCCTCAGGCACACAGTTTCTGTCCATCTTATAAGTCACAGGGCTGACGCGTGTGTCTCACGCCTGCAACCCTCACACAGACTCGCCTCCTAGCCTCACTGTCTGAACTTGTCTCTATTTTCTCACCTGGTTATTTAGTATCTGTTATTCTGTAAGCTGCCTGAAGTGATTGTTGGAACAAGTCAGAAGAATGAGTGGGTAGATAAATGGACAGATGGACAGGTTAGAGATTGGCAGAGAGACAGAGACTCCACAAAAAGGGGAACAAAGAAGATTTCCTATGCAAAGCCCTCTTCTAGTCAGGAAGGAAAACCACCACAGAGAAGTGCGAAGAGGCAGGTGGCTTAGGATTGTTTCATACATTCCATGAAAAATCACACCAAGAGATGAGAGGGTAGAACTATAAATATTAAAAGAAAAAATCATGCATGCTTGAAAAAATAACTACAACATGTAGTTTCCAAAGAATAGATTCAAATCAGCAGGGCCCAATAACACATTCCTTGGGTAATTACAGAAGTGAGAATTCCACCTCCAAACCACAATGCATCCATTTGGAGCACTGGGAGTCTACATGGGGCGATCATAAAGCCGTCACCGCAAAAGCTATGCTATCCTGCACTTACGAGGAACGAGCAGCTGTGCTCTGGCTGCCCACGCGCGTCATTTACATCCCACAGCACCTCTATGGGGGAGGGACGCCTAGCGAGCCCCGTCTCTGCAGGACAGAAAACAAGTCCGGGAGAGGCTAAGCCTACCTACCAGTTCTCCATCTCACAGGGCTGGTCACTCCAGAGCAGGATTCGAACTCGGACCATGATTGTAAGTACTACCGTGCTACATGTACTTTTTTTTATGTACTTTTTGTGTGTATAATACATTTCTTTCTGGCATGAAAGTATATTTAATAAATAATCGGTTGTATTGTCTATCTCATTAGCTCACAATCAATCTTTATACTTTTGAATTGTTCTTTTTTCCCCTGGAGAAATGAACGGAAAGAGCGGGGGTCAGAATGAGGTGGGGCTCCATTCTTTATCTGGTACCTCATCTCATCCAAGTCCACAACCAGGGAGAAGGAGCAAATGTTCTCTTCATCTTTTAAAGAGAGGGCTCCACTGATGGTGACTTACTCAACTCCAAAACCAAGGATGGGGGAAGGGCACATGCAGCAACCAGAGCAGTATCACCTGTAGGAAGGCGAAAAGAGCTCACGGAAGGGCTCAGGGGGTCATCCTGATTTAATTTCAATCGATAAAAGATTACCACACTCTAAAAATACTAGCATGCAATGGATTTGCTCTTTCTTGACATCTAGCAAGTTTGCACAGCCCACATGTAACATTATCGTGAACCAGTGAAAGAGTCTATAGACAAGAAAAATCAATGCCACAGGCAGGCTGAAACCCAGGCTGGAGTTTAAGAAGAAAAAGGGCATAGTTAAGAAGTGGGGAAAGGCTGGGAAAAAAATCATCACAAGGACTCTCAAGCATCATCCAACAATCATATAATCATTCATTCAAGAGAGAGTTACTGAGGTCATATTTTGTGCAAGGTTGTACAGAGAGTAAAGCAAGAGCGCAGAGACTATTGTGCCAGCAAGGGGAGGGGCTCAAATACACTCCTGATTCCAGTTCCTTACACACTTGTCCTCAGTATAAAGGCAAAAAAAAAAAGTAAAATAATACTCTGTAAACTCAAAGCATTGTTGAAAAAATTAAAGAAGACCTAAATGCCTGGACAGACACACCACGCATATTCCAGGGTCAGAAAAAATTGCTCTTGGGATGGCAGGGCTCCCCAGATTGATCCGTTTATTCAAGGTGGTCTCTATCACAATCCCAGCGGGCTCATCTGCAGAAAGTCACTAGCTGCTGCTACAAATCATATGGGAATTCGAGGGTCTCAGTAACCAAAGTGATCTTGAAAAATTAGGACAACGTGAGAGGACTTGTAAATCTCAATTTCAAAACTTACACCTGTATCTCCAGGTAAGGAGATTACAGGCCATTTTTAACTTATTTACTGTGTTTATCCTTATTTTGTAAATTGTCTACAGTGAATATAACTGTTACAATCAGAAAAATAAAAAGTAACGTATCTTTAAAACATGCACACCAATTCATTCATTGGGAAAAAAAATTAACTATAAAGAGGTAAACAAATATCTAGTGAAAGAGGACTACTTAAAAACAAGAGTGCATTTACATTTTTCATAGATTGAATACTGCAAAGCACAAGCACATCAAGTTTCTAGGGAGCCTGGTGCAACATATAAATAGTTATTTACAAAAATTCTAATTGAACAATGAAAATCCAAGAAAGGGAAAATCGTGATTGACAGCCAACTGCAAACACATGGAGAGCAAAGGCTTAGAAATCCCAGTCTCTGTAGCTCTGCTACTACCTCAGTAGGAGAGGAAATTTCTCACTGAGGGGACAGTGGGATTCCATGCATAAGACAGGATACACAGTACAAACTGCATTAGAACCGGGGGTGATTTTCTTAGAAGAATTCTAAAGTTACAACATTGCTGAAAAACTATAAAAACACTGACAGACAGATTGAAACACACAGTCATATATATTATATAGAAACATATGAAGTCTCCTCCCATGTTGCATAGAAATATAAACATATTTGTTCATTTATCAGCACTGATTACTTTATCCCAGGTAGAATATTTCAACTAAAACAAATAATCAATAATACACCCCTCTTGTCAAATCTAGTTGATAAGTTAGTCGGCTATGTAACCATAATGTGTCAAAGATACATCTAAAATTGTGAAAAATACCTTTGTATGGTTTCTCAAACTCTTCTAAAAATTCCAAGCTTAATTTTAAAATAGATCTGAACAGTATTTTTATATTATCTTTTCCCTTGTGAAATGAACAACACAGTCTGTTGTCAAAATTCTGCCCTTACAATGATTCATGAGCACCATATCCTAACAATACTGCTGGACAGCAAGGCACTATCCAGACACTGTTACCAAACAAACAAACGAAACACAAGGAAGACAATGACCCTATTCTGGAGGGCTTATAATGTATGTCAACACTGGGGTTTTTATTTGATTGTTTAGCAAAATAAAATCAACCAATTACTTTCTTTTTTGAGCATTCTGTAAGTCATGACTCTGTTTTTAGTGTCATGAGCAGGAAAGACTTAAGCATGACTTGATTAGGTCAATTAGCTACAGCCATCACTGCAGAATGAGTAATAAAAAAGTTAACAGATAGCAATGCTTATGCCTACATGAGACCTAAAATAAACCTACACTGAGCTCGGCAAGGAAAATGAGAAGATGAGGTCCCCAATGAGAAAAAAACTAACAAGAAATCAAAGAAGGAAAGACTTTCATTAACGATTCCAAGAAGGAGTAGAGCATGGTGGTGAAGAGCACAGATGCTGGGGACAAACAAGAGGATCTGAAATCCCACAGCAGCACTGGGTAGCTGTGACACTGGTATTCAGGGAAATTTTCTTCATCTCAGTCTCCTCATCCATAGACTCGGGAAAACAACAGCACCCATCTCCTAGAACGGTCTTAAGATTTCAGTTATTTTATATATAAAAGTTTAAATAAAATACATCATATCTTAAATATGACCCCAAAAGCACAAGGAACAAAGAAATCAGAGATAAACTGGAGTTCATCAAAATTTAAAACTTTGCTTCAAAGGACACCATCCAGAAAGTGAAAAAACAACACACAGGAGAAAATTTTTTCAAATCATTTATCTGATTAGGAATTTGTATTTCCAAGATAAAAAAAGCTCCAACAACTCAAGAATAAAAAGGCAACTCAATTAAAAAATGAATAAAGGATCTGAAAAGATATTTTTAAAGGAAAATGTAAAAATGGCCAATAAGCACAATGAAAAGATGTTCAATATCATTAGCTGTAAGGGAAATCAAGTCAAAACCACTAAGAGAAACCGCTTCACACTCACTACAATAGGTTATAATCAAAAAAAGAGTAACAAGCCCTAATGAGGGCACAGAGGAAGCGGAGCTCTCAGCCCTTGCTGGTGAGGACGTAACACAGCGTGACCGCTTTGGAAAACAGC